CTCTTAGTATGCTCAAGCTACTATTTGTCAATAATAACATATTTTATCCATCTCTCACATTCCCAGTCCATAGCAGCAGGGGGTCTGGCATGCATGGCCAGTACACCCCAATGAAATAAAGACCTTGCTACACCCACCTGAGGCAAGCTCAAATACTGATTCATCAAGGTGTCTCTGGATCATGCCCCCAACTTAACTAATTCCTCTCCAATTAAGGAAAGGCTGCTAGCTCCCTGATCCCACAATCTTACTCACCACTGGCTTAGCCTTTCTCCTGGCTTCTGCCTGTTAGTTTTAGACATATCAGCTAGCTTCTGCTGAGTGTACACTAATCTATGACAGTGTATGTTGCCTAAGCAGCCTGTGGGTTGCCAGGTGGCCCCGTAGATTTATTAGTGACCATAGGTCATGCCTCAGCTGCCCAAGCATTCTTATCTCCTTCATCCTCCCCTTCTGTCAAACTGGATTCCTCGTCATCCGAATCCCACATATCTCCATCCCAGGTTTCTGGATTCCACTCTCGGGATGAGATGAGAGCTCTAACTTTGTGAGGGTTAGGTACACAGCCTTTATTTACTTGTTTTTACTATTTTAATTTGGAAACCGAACAGCCATGGTGGGGGCTTGAAGAACTCTGCTTGTTGGGATGAATGGATAGACAGTTAGAAAAGAGTTATGGAAGATTGTTTTTATATATGGTAACTGCTGTGAGAGTATTATATTCACGAAAATGGAAAGACTCTCAAATACCCACAATGGAGGAATGGCTGGTGAAAATGACAGAATGAGCAGGGATGGCAAAATCAGCTTGTTTGATTAGAGAAAGGACAATAACTGCATTTATTCGTGACTGGAAACCCCTTAGGGACTTTTTGCTGAAAAGGAAAAAAATGAACTTGTGATTTATGGGTGTGATGATTAGAAAGGGTAGATTATGGAAATAAGGAAATTATATTGTAACCTTAGAGAGGATAAAATATAAATGTACTTTTAGTTGCTGTTAGGAGGACAGCAATTAAAGCTTTTTCTTTATAACTTTTCTCTTCTCTTCTCTTCTCTTCTCTTCTCTTCTCTTCTCTTCTCTTCTCTTCTCTTCTCTTC